CCCTGGCAATTCTGTTTCTGGAATTTTTGGAATTCTTAGAATCCTAGAATTAATTCTAATAGTTCTAATAATTCCAATTGGAATTAGTTTAACTCCTAGAATTAATTCTAAGCATTCTAATAATTCGAATTGGAATTATTCTAATTAATTCTGAGAATTCCAAGAATTCCAATTGGAATTATTCTAACTCCTAAAATTAATTCTAAGAATTCTAATAATTCCAATTGGAATTGTTCCAATTAATAGAAATATATGGAAATCCTTGCCTGGCCAGCATTCCCTGGCAATTCTGTTTCTAGAATTGTTGGAATTGATGGAATCCTAGAATTCATTCTGAGAATTCTTATAATTCAAATTGGAATTATTCCAGTTCCTAGAATTAATTCTAAGAATTCTAGTAATTCCAATTGCAAGTATTCCAAATCTTAGAACTAATTCGAATTCCAATAATTCCAATTGGAATTATTCTAATTCCTGTGTTCAAAATTCTAAAAATTCCAATTGGAATTACTCAACTTCTTAGAATTGTTGGAAAATCCTTGCCTGGCCAGCATTCCCTGGCAATTATGTTTCTCGAATTTTTGGAATTCTTAGAACACTAGAATTCATTCTAAGAATTCTAATAATTCCAATTGGAATTGTTCAACCTCCTAGGATTAATTCTAAGCATTCTAATAATTCCAATTGGAATTATTCCAAATCTTACAACTAATTCTAAGAATTCCAATAATTCCAATTGGAATTATTCTAATTCCTAGAATTAATTTGAAGAATTCTAATAAGTTCAATTAAAATTATTCCAATTCTTAGAACTATTAGAAAATCCTTGCCTAGCCAGCATTCCCTGGCAATTATGTTTCTGGAATTCTTAGAATTCTTAGAATCCTGAAAATGATTCTAATAATTCTGAAAATTCAAATTGGAATTATTCCAATTCCTAGAATCCATTCTAAGAGCTCTAATAATTCCAATTGGAATTATCCCAAGTCTTAGAATTAATTCTAAGAATTCGAATAATTCCAATTGGAATTATTCTAATTCCTAGAATTAATTCTAAGAATTCTAAGAATTCCAATTGGAATTCCTCAACTTGATAGAATTATTTGGAAATCCTTGCCTGGCCAGCATTCCCTGGCCATTCTGTTTCTGGAACCTTTGGAATTCTGAGAATCCTAGAATAATTCTGAGAATTCTAATGATTCTAATTGGAATTATTCCAGTTCCTAGAATTAATTCTAAGAATTCTAATAATCCAATTGGCATTATTCCAAAGCTTAGAATTAATCCTAAGAATTCCAATAATTCCAATTGGAATTATTCTAATTCCTAGAATTAATTCTAAGAATTCTAATAATTCCAATTGGAATTATTCCAATTCTTAGAATATTTGGAAATCCTTGCCTGGCCAGCATTCCCTGGCAATTCTGTTTCTGGAATTGTTGAAATTCTTAGAATCCTAGAACTTGATTCAACGAATTCTGAAAATTCCAGCTGGAATTATTTGAATTAAACGAAATTGTTAGAATTTTTAGAATTAATTCGAGGAATTTGAATATTTCCAATTGGAATTATTGGAATTGATAGAATTAATTTTAAGGTTTGGAATAATTCCAATTGGAAATATTAGAATTCTTAGAATTACTTCTAATTCCAATTGGAATTATTAGAATTGATAGAATTAATTCTAGGATGCTAAGAATTTCAAAAATTCTAGAAACAGAATTGCCAGGGAATGCTGGCCAGGCAGGGATGGAATTCTTAGAACTAATTCTAAAATTTGGAACAATTCCAATTGGAATTAATAGAATTCTTAGAATTAATTCAAGGAATAATTCCAATTGGAATTATTGGAATTCTTAGAATTCATTCTAGGATTCTAAGAATTCCAAAAATTCCAGAAACAGAATTGCCAGGGAATGCTGGCCAGGCAAGGATTTTCCAATAATTTAAAGAGTTGGAATAATTCCAATTGGAATTATTGGAATTCTTAGAACTAATTCTAGGAGTTAGAATAATTCCAATCTAGGAATTTGAATAATTCCCATTGGAATTCTTAGAATTCTTAGAATTAAATTCTAGGACTCTAAGAATTCCAAAAATTCCAGAAACTGAATTGCCAGGGAATGCTGGCCAGGCAAGGATTTTCCAATAATTCTAAGAATTTGAATAATTCCAATTGGAATTATTAGAATTGGAAGAATTAATTCTAGGAATTAGAATAATTCCCATTGGAATTAATAGAATTCTTAGAATAATTCTAACAATTAGAATAATTCCAATTGGAATTATGAGGAATTGGAATAATTCCAATTTGAATTATTAGAATTCTTAGAATTAATTCTAGGATTCTCAGAATTCCAAAAATTCCAGAAACAGAATTGCCAGGGAATGCTGGCCAGGCAAGGATTTTCCAATATTTCTAAGAATTGGAATAATTCCAATTGGAATTATTGGAATTCTTAGAACTAATTCTCAGATTTGGAATGATTCTAGGATTCTAAGAATTCCAAAAATTCCAGAAACAGAATTGCCAGGGAATGCTGGCCAGGCAAGGATTTTCCAATAAAATTGGAATAATTCCAATTGAAATTGTTAGAATTCTTAGAATTAGTTTTAGGAATTATTGGAATTATTAGAATTCTTAGTTAATTCTAGGATTTGGAATAATTCCAATTGGAATTACCTAGGGCTTCAAGAACCTGAAAAAATGTCGTACCCTGACTGAAACATTTTGTTTTTGCTCGATTTTCTAAAAACATCGTGTTTTCAGGAAAAACATTGTTTTTGATAAAACCCTTTAAAATTGGCTTCTGAGGCCAAACACTCATTTGGTCAAAGGCAAGGGTCGGGAGTGGAAGTCACACAGGCATCACCCATTAAGATTTCAACTGAGGGCAACGCTCTATGCTGAGTATGCTTCAAATTCTAAGGACCACATTGATGAGCCTGAGAGCCAGGGTGTGCAGCTGGCTTCAGTTTTTAAGTACCCTTCACAGCAACAGGCACCTGAAGACTAGGGCCAGGTCATACCGAACCAGTTTGAAGGGGGTGCTGGAATCCCAAAGCTCCTTTTAATGCAAAACAAGACCAGGTGACACCTTTTGAGATTGTTTTTATGATTTTTGAGTTGTTTTTGGAAAACGGGGCGGGATCCTGGCGGCTAACCGGAAAAACCGTAGAAAACCCGTAGAAGCCCAGAGAAAACCTGTAGAAACCCATAGAAAACCTGCACCCAACCGAAAACATCGTGTTTTTGGAAAACATCGTGTTTTCTAACCCGTAGCTAAACCGTGGAAAACCCGTAGTAAAGTGTGGCAAACCGTGGAAATTCTATGGGTTTTTCGGGTTCAACCACGAATGCGCTAATTCGAGATCGTTGCCGGAAAACAACGAAGTCGTGAGCAAAAGTCTTTGCTTCAGCTTGCGCGCTGTTCGAAGCCAGCACGTGGCATTGCTGCTTGACAAGTGTCATAAAACCGTGGTACTTTTGACTATTTGGGTCCCCGGCCTCCTTCTTTCAGATTGGAGTTGCGAAAGACGAGTGGCGAATGCGAAGCTGATTTCGTTACGAGCGCAAAAGGGGAGGGCAATGGGAGATTCTGAGGTTGAGATGATGCTTTTGAGATCTTTTGAGAACGGATGACGAGTTGAAGGAATGTATGGGAAAATGCTTGAAATCGAAAATGCCGTGTTTCCCGAAAACATCGTGTTTTCCCAAAAAACATCGTGTTTTTTGTAGGTATGACATTTTCATCGGTTTTGAGGCTCCTGGTATTGGAATTCTTAGAATTAATTCTAGGATTCTAAGAATTCCAAACATTCCAGAAACAGAATTGCCAGGGAATGCTGGCCAGGCAAGGATTTTCCAATAACTCTAAGATGTCCAATAATTCCAATTGGAATCATTCCAATTCCTAGAATTTCCAATTGGAATTATTGGAAATCTTAGAGTTAATTCTTTCATGTGGAATAATTCCAATTAAAATTATTAGAAATCTTAGAATTAATTCTAGGAATTGGAATAATTCCAATTGGAATGATTAGAGTTCTTAGAATTGATTCTAGGATTCTACGAATTCCAAAAAAACAGAAACAGAATTGCAAGGGAATGCTGGCCAGGCAAGAATTGCAAGAATTCTAACAATTTTTTATTCTAATAATTCCTATTGGAGTTATTCCAATTTATGGAAAAATCTACGAATTCTAAAAAGTCCTATTGGAATAATTCAAATCTTGGAATTCATTCTGTAAATTCTAATGGTTCCAAATGGAACTATTAGTATTGATTCTACAAAGTGGAATAATTCCAGCAGGAATTACTAGATTTCTTAGAATTAATTCTAGGATTTTAAGAATTCCAAAAATCTAAGAATTCCAAGGGTTTGTCTCTGGAATTCCTGGAGCTCCTGGAATTCTTGGCTTGCCAGCCAGCAGGGACAAATATTACCTAGAGGTCTCTCACACATATATATATATACACGCAGCCTCTCTTCAAGTTGTTTCCCGCTGGCCTCGGGGAAGGCCCAGTTAGCGAATGCCTCTTGGATGACCAGCGTCCTGGAGTCAATGCCCTTCTTTGGGCAAAACTTAAGTGGGCTCTAGGGCAAATCTGTCCTACCAAGGTGACAAAATCCCTGGTATCAAGGAATCACCTCTACTTACTATCCGGTTGATGTTACATTCGAGCACTGTTTGCGGCACACTCCCTTTCGCCCAAAGTTGGGCTTGTTTGCATGCCATTTCGCACCTGTTCCCGCTCATTCAGGACAAGCGCTGCCAGCAAGAAGACAATCACTTGCACATCTGCAAACAGTCCCATGTGGGAGTGGTTCAGCTCGTTGTTGACTGTGAAAGGTCAGATCCTTGCATTCGCATCCTTACCTATTT